TCCTTTGAAGTATCAGACATTTCCCATATAAAAACTTGATTGATGTGTGAATTTTTTATTACACTTTTTTCATTTCTAGGGTTTCTCTCCACCATGTGCCCAGGGTTGCCCAGCTCTCCTCTATGTGCCCAGAGTTGCCCAGGGCTGGCACTAATAGTCTCAGCAGCCACAACTACCTTCCAAGCCTTGGCTTAGGCAACTCTGTGCCCCCAAGTGCCTCCCTCCTTCTCCCTGAGACTAGCGCTATTACTAGGAGCCCTGGCTGAAACCCCATGCCCCTCAGACTTTTCTCTGTAGCAACCTAAATGGTAGATAAAAGACACTGCCACTTTTTTGTGTGTTATGCTGTGGAATCCTGAACCTTACTAAACCTTAATCAATGTCCGTTGAATCTTATTTTTTAATACCAGGGAGACAAGTTACTTGGCGATATGGTATCTTAAAGGTATGCACTTTAATTGTTTATTTCACCACAATATTCAATTTCTAATTGTAGAAAATTTAGAATGAATGTGCCAGCAGATGTGTTTGCTGATCTAGTAGGAATAATCTTCAAAAGATAAAATCTTATTCTGATTTTCAAAATAGGGAAGAAAATAGAATCTGTGAACCTCTAATAAAGGGCTCATGACCACAGAGAGCCACCATTTCCTTTTCTGACAGCTTCCAAACAAGTAGATCAGAGAATTGCTGGAGATACTTCAGTAAGATTTTGGCAAAGACAACAACTCCATGGGCTAGGTGCTATATTTATCCCCATTTTACAGATGTGGAATCTGAAGCAAACAGAAGTCAAATCACTTGGCTAGGGTCTCCTGGCTGGTTAGTATCTGAGGCTAAATTTGAACTCAGGTCTTTTTAACTTGACCTCCAGGGCTCAATCCACTGTACTACTTATCTGCCTAATATATTTAAAGCTTTCAGCATGGTCAAAGTAAAGATCACTGGGCTAGGACTCAGAACCCCCAAAGTATATGCCTGTTTTTGCAGTGTAGTTTTGAGCATTTCATCTAATCTCACAGAGTCTTAGTTTCCTCAGGCAATATGGGGTTAATAACATTTGCATTGCCTACCTCATAAGATTCTTTTCTGGGAGGCAGGAGATGGAGGAGAGGGTCCATATTTGAGATTTCACTGATAAAGACAATGCTCTGTAAGGAAACTTCCTTTATTGATGCAGATGAGCAATTTTTCTGGATCTGTAGTCTTATAATGTTGCTGAAGAGCATTGAGAGGTTAAGTGACTTGTTCAGGGTCACACAGTGAGCACATCTTAGACACAAACCTTGATCTTCCTGATTCCAAGACTGGATCTCTCTCCACCATGATGCTCCATAAGGCTCTTGTGGGGGTCAAAAGCAGTAATATTTGTACGTGCTTTGTAAACTGTCAGCCGCATGTGTCCCCACATGGGGAGAAGTTGAGGGGCAGAATGGCTAGACAGCCAAGCCTTAGAATCACAAAGACCTGGGTTCAAGTATGGTCTCTGACACATACTAGCTGTGAGACCCTGGGCAAGACACTTACCCCCTCAGTGCCCCCTAGATACTTCTCTAAGACTCTAAAGAGAAGAGAAGGTACTGACTTAAATTGAAGGAAGGTCTTCCCCAGGTGTTTCCTACCCTAATGTAATCACAGGTCCAGTCCCATGTATCTATATCTATACCCATGGTGTTCGTGTTGTTGTTAACAGTCAGACCCAACTCTTGTGAATCCATCTGGGATTTTATTGGCAAAGATACTGGAGTGGTTTGCCATTTCCTTCTCCTCATTTTACAGATGAGAAGATTGAAGCAAACAGGGTTAATTGACTTATCCAGGGTCACACAACTAGTAAGTTTATCTGAAGTCAAATTAGAACTCAGGAAGATTCATCTTCCTGACTCCAGGCCTGGCACTCCATCTACTATGCCTCCCATCTGCCCCCATCTATACCCACTGATACCCATATACATATCCATGCCCATATCTATATATCTAGATTATATAGAGTCATTTAACATCCTTGTATTTCAATTTCCTCAACCCTAATATGAGGATGTTAGGCTTGACAGATTACCTATAGATAGCTGTGAAGGGTAGGATTTGAACTCAGGTCTAGGTTGGACTAGATGACATCGAAGTTCCCAACTACTGGACTGAATTTTTTCCTCTTATAAAATTCTTTTCCTTTATAAAATTCTATCATCCTGAAGTATATCCACAAATTTCTACTAACTCCCAGATTACCCCCATGACTTCACAAAGTAGAACATTAATGCCTCTGTACTAAGTGTCACATTTAAAACTATTTCCTTTGAGCTAGAACCAGGCATACAGACTTCCAGTTTCCAGGTCATCTTTTATTATCATTGTCTCCTAAGTTTTAATGAGCTGAACAGAAGATATCTGTTCCAGCACCATTCTAGAGGTGAGTGAATCAAACTTGTCTTTAATGCATGCACAGCAGTAAATCAGTTTGCCTCTAGTCAGCAGGGCAAGAGTGGCCACAGGGTGTGAGTCATTTTGAGCAGTTTGTGTGGCCCTGCATGTAGGGTGCCTGACACCCACCCAGATCCTTCCTGTCTGGTAGCATTACATCTCTGCACTAGAGTTCTAGAAAGCATCTATTCAAAGAAGCTATAATTATCCATTTTTTCATGGTGATGTGGATATTGAAATAATTGAGAGCTATGGGGAAGTGGGTGGGAGCCAAAAGCCTTAGCACATAGACTAGGGAATATGCCAGGTAGTGGAAGCTAGAAGGTCACTAGAGATGGAAGGTCTTTTAGTCCTATTGACTTATTTTATTTTACAGATGAAAACTGTGGCCCAGAGAGTTGAATAACTTATTCAAGATCACACAGATAAGAAGCTGTGGCATATCTAGAGGTCTTGAATCCAGGGCCTCTAACTCACATTCTAGCACTTTTCTCACTGTATCTTATGTGATATTATGGCCAAGGAGTACAATTGGAATTCTGACTGAGACTGGGAGAAAATTTTCTGTGGCGACTGGAGAAGCCTTGGTAAAAAGACTCATAACAGTAGTACGTAGGCTTCCTGAGAGTAGGGATTGTTCTTTTCTTTGTATTTGTAGTCGAAGTGCCTAACATAAGTGCAGTATTTCTTGGGGTTCACAGGCTAGATTTATTTCTTAAGGACCATGCCTTAACCCCAAATCCCCTGGCACTCACCGACTGGCCAACAATAGGTCTCAACATAATTGATAATTGATTGATAGACCTGGGGTGGTCCCAGGAGTCTCCCAGAGACAAATTTATATATCCTAGATGTGAATTCAATAACAGAATCTAATATGAAAATGTTAGTGGCAAGGAAATAAAATTAGAGGGAAATCTGAGACAAGCTCTGATTTTCCTGGCAAATTCCCCTTGAGGTGTTCATATTCATTAGAAAGAGGACTGAGGACATGGATTCAAGTCCCTCTTTGGAAAGTTAGTAGCTGTATGATCTTGCACATGTTACTTAATTTACATAAGCCTCCATTTCCTCATCTGAAAAATGAAGGGGTTTTAGTAGATGGCCTCTAAGATCTCTTCCAACTCTACATCTTATTTATATGCAAACATTATTTTGGATGTTAATATGAAATGACTGCCTCATTTAATGGCTATTAGTCAAATGTGTTTTGATGATTTTCCCCCTTTCCTTCAGGTGGTTGCTAATTTTCCCCATATTAGAGGTCACCTATGACCACCTATTTCTGAACTAGGAAGGAGATTGGGGGCATGAAGCAAAAATCTTCACTAAATGGCAATCAATGCTATTCTATCACTACAGAGATAGTTTCATGGTTCCATGTTGGGATGGAGTACACCTGTCTTCAAACATGTTGGCCGTAAAGAGCCCCATAGCTCTGGCTGGATTCCCAGCTACTGAGAGACATAACAATGAATTAGGGACCCCAATCTGGCTCCCTACACTCAGCTCTTGAAATATTTTCTTATGTGATGCTTTACCTCCTAGGACAGAGGGCACCAGAAATGGATGAGGCAAACTAAAATAATAGTAGTATTCCCCTCTTCTTGAACCCAATTAAAATCCCACCTCCCACAGGAAGCCTTTCCCAATCCCTCAATTCCAGTGCCTTCCCTCTCTTAATTATTTCATATTTATCCTGTATATAGCTTGCTTTGTATATAACTGTTTTCATGCTGTCTTGCCCATTAGATTACAAGCTCCTTGAGGGCAGGGACTGTCTTTTGCTTCTTTTTGTATCTTCAATGCTTAGTACAGTGCCTGGTATAAAGTAGGGGCTTAATAAATGTTTATTGAATTGATCAAAGCGATCTCTTATAGAGATTTTTCTTTTGAATGTCAAAATACACTTATGAATGAGAAAAGGCTCAGAAATCTAAGGCTGGAGGAGACCTTGGAGGTCATCTAGTTCCATCCTCTTGTTTTTCAGAAGAGGAAACTGAGGCCCAGCAAGGTTGAGTGACATGCCCAAGATCACATAGATGTTAAGTATCACAGGCAGGACTTGAACCCAGCTCCTCTGATTCCTTAGCCAAGACTCTTTCTAAATGACAGTACTGTCTCTCCAGTTCTACCTTTCCCTATTACATTGTATCCATGCCTGTCCACTTGAAAGAATCCACTATTTCAAATCTACTGAAGAATTTCTAGGAGGAAGCAATCACTCACCATTTATGAGAAAAAACACAAGCACATCCAATTTTTTTTTAAAGGGAATGAAGGGTGATGGGTTGTCAAACACTGTAATAGGTGACAAGACTTGGAAAGATAACAGAATTCAGGTCATAATAAAACTCAACTAGAGGATGGTTAAGATCACACTTTGGCACTGATTTTTAGAAAAAATCTTGGATATCTACTTAGTAGACATGTAAAGAGGTTGTCATCCAAGGGTGACCTCAATGTGCAATAAATAAGGAAGGCAGAGAATACTATTTCTTTGGGGAGAAAGGGGTAGAGAAGCCATAAAGGAAAACCCATAATTATTTTTCACCAACAGGCACTTGGGTCTTACTTACCAATCTTGCACAGCATTGAAGGATTCTTCATTGGTGATGTCATACATTAGAATAAAGCCCATGGCACCCCGATAATAAGCTGTAGTAATTGTCCTATATCTCTCTTGACCTGCTGTGTCCTAGAAAACAAAACAAAATGTTAGTAAACCTTTAAATCATATGGCAAAACATTTAGGGAAAAGTAATGAATGATGGGGAAACAATCCTTCCATAGCTTCTTAAACATCTTTCAGGGAGTGTGATAATGGTTGTTGTCTCTTTCTAATGATTCCCACACTTTGGTGTTATCATAGCGCAAAATAATCCTTTCTGTTGATAAAGAGTCCTCATTGATGAACTAGCTTTAAACAGCCAGAGTACACTTATACACTTTAACTCACATTTGCCAATCTTCCTTCCTTCCTTCCTTCCTTCCTTCCTTCCTTCCTTCCTTCCTTCCTTCCTTCCTTCCTTCCTTCCTTCCTTCCTTCTTTCCTTCCTTCACTCCTTCCTTCCTTTCTTATATGCCTATCTATCATCTAATCATTCATTCATTCCAAAACATATCTGTTATATCATTATTGTAGGAAATTCTCAGTGAAGAAATTCCCTTTCCCAATGTGTGCAGAGCAAATCTGAGTCTGCAAATCCCTTTATCATTTAATATCTTCCTAACTTGGTTCCCTCCTACCTTTCCAGTCTTCTTAAACCTTATTCACTCCCACACGCTCTGCAATCCAATGACACTGGTCTCCTGGCTATTTCTCCAATAAGACATCCATCTCCTAACTCTGTGCATTTTCTTTGACTGCCCTCAATACCTGGAATTATCTTCCTTCTCCTCTCTGTCTCCTGGTTTTTATGGCTTCTTTCAAGTCACAGACCAAAATCTCACCTTCTCCAAGAAGTTTTTCATGATCCCCTTTAATGTTATTGTCTTCCTTCTGTGGATTATCTCCAACTTGTCTTGTATGTATCTTGTTTGTACATATTTGGTTCTTTGTTACCTCCCCTAATAGACTATGAACTTCTTGAGGGCAGGGACAGTTTTTTTTTTTTTAATTCATCCTTAGTGCTTAGTAAACTGCCTGACTCATAATAGGAGCTTGTTAAAAAGCTGTTGACTTACTAGTCTTGGAGAGTTGCCTGGGGCACTGAGAGGTTAAGAGACTTGTCCAAGGTCACGTAACTAGTATATGTTAGAGGCAAGGCTTGAACATGAACCATCCTAGCCAGCACTGGCCTTCTCTCCATTACAACCCAACACCACTTATTCTGTTACCCAAATGTGTGTTTGCTGGCATAGTAACCTTCTATTAGTTACCATAAAGTAGAAAATGTTTTCTGGATATTGGCAGTGATGGTATTAGCTGGCAATGTTTATATCCAATCTCCTCATTAGCTTAAAACTGTTTGCCTTACCAGAGAAGAATTCAAACATGTGTTCAAATGTTCACACATTAGTTAATGGAGAGATAATTTGCAGGGAGATGCTAAGAATTCTGCCTATTCCTCTAACAGTGCACTACATTAGCACTATAGTTAGCTTTTGGTTAGTGGTGAGTGTCTGACAAAGAATAGGATCTTGAAATGTGATGTGAAAATATGAATTTTTCCAAACTGAACCATTTTTCTCCACTAATTTTCATTATAATTTCTGGAATATTTTATCTTCGTTTCTGAATAGTCTTCAGTTTGCTGTGATTCATACCTATTTAGAACTCAACTAAAACCAAAATGACAGAGTGGAAATAACATTAGATATAAAGATGGAGAACTTGGGTTAAAATCCCACCTACTATCTGTGTGATCTCAGGCAAATCATATCCTTTCTTTTGGTCTCAGTTCCTTCATTTGTAATTTAAAAAAAATTGAGATGCACTAAGGACCCTTTAAAGTCCTTTACTCTTTTTTTAAATTAATTTATTTTTAGCTTTTAACAATCACTTCCATAAGCTTTTGAGTTTCAAATTTTCTCCCTCTCCCTCTTTGTCTCCCTCCTCAAGACAGCATGCAATCTGATATAGGCTCTATATATACATTCCTATTAAACATATTTTCACATTAGTCATGTTGGAAGGAAGAATTAAAACTAATAGGAGGAACCACAAGAAAGAGAAAACAAAACAGAAGGAAAAAAAAGAGCAAATAGTATGCTTTGACCTGCATTCAAATTTCATAGTTCTTTCTCTGGATGTGGATAGCATTTTCCATCATGAGACCTTTGGAGATGTCTTAGCTCCTTGCATTGCTGAGAAGAGCTAAGTCTATCAAAGTTAGTCATTGCACAACGTGGTTGTTATTGTGCACAATGTTCTCCTGGTTCTGCTCACTTCACTCAGCATCAGTCCATACAAGTTTCTTTCAGGTTTTTCTGAAGTCTGCCTGTTCATCATTTCTTATAGCACAATAGTATTCCATTACATTCATACACCACAACTTGTTCAGCCATTCCCCAATTGATGGACATCCCCTCAATTTCCAATTCTTTGCCACCACATAAAGAGATGCTATAAATATTTTTGTACATGTGAGTCTTTTTCTCATTTGTGTGATCTCTTTGGGATACAGCCCTAAAAGTGCTAGTGCTGGTCAAAGGGTATGCACATTTTTATAGCCTTTTGGGGATAGTTCTAAATTGCTCTCCAGAATGGTTGGATCAGTTTACAACTCCACCAATGAGTCCAATTTTCCCACATCTTCTCCGGTATTTATCATTTTCCTGTCTTGTCATGTTGGCCAATCTGATAGGTATGATGTGGTTTAAGGTCCCTTACTCTTAAAAGTCTTTCACAGTTGTTTTTCTTTAAAGTCTTGTAGTCATTATATAAATTGTTCTCTTGGTTCTGCTCACTTGATTCTGCATCAGCTTGTATAAATCCTCCTGGGTTTCTCTGAATCTGTACTTTTTGTTATTTCTTATAGGATAATAATGTACCCTTGCATTTGTATACCATAATTGTCCAGCCCTACTCTAAATGATATTCTCCTTTCATCTAGGAATCGTGGAGACTTTCCACCCTTTTCTGTAAACAGGTTGAACCTTCTCTTATGTCCCCAGATACACTGGTCGTAGAAGAAGGTGCCACATCCTTGCTCCCCATTGACATTTGTGGACCTCTCTCTGCTGCTACACCTAAGCAACATCTCCTTTATGGATCATTTTGTATACATAGCTCACTCTAGGCCTATCCGAGAGGCTGTTATCTACCAATCCCCAGGCCACTCTTCCTCCTGTGGCAAGGAATTCAGTGTGGGAATCATGGGATTCCTTTCCACCCTAACCCCTTGAAATGGGGTTTTCTTATGAACCTAAGTAACTCAGTCTTGGTTCCAAATAAACATAAGACTGCTGTAGTTTGCTGAGTAAGTGCAATGTATAAAATTATGTATCTGAGGAAGCATCTGATACCCTTTGTCCCATTTCAAGAGATATTTCGTTGCTTCTTACTGCGTATCATTTTGTGCAGATGTCTTATTAGCTACAATTAATTGTAGAGAGATACTGAGAATACTGCCATTTCCTCCAATATGTGTATCAGACTATAGTTAGCTTTTGGTTAGTGGTGAATGTCTGACAAAAATAGGATCCTGTAATGTGAAGTGAAAATAAGTATTTTTCCAAACTGAACCATTTTTCTACAACAATTGTGTCTACCATAAATCATTCAGATCTTTTTAAAATAGATATTTCTTAACTGTGAATTTGTTTTTCAATATGCCTGTGTATTCTTGAACCTTGTAGTGCAGCCAATCAGAGCAAACAGTTCTCTTGTTATCGGTGCTTTTGTGTATAAAAGAAGCCTTACAGAAAAAAATTGAGTTGAGTTTGCTTGCAGTATACTGTCTATACTCCCTGGTTTGCAAGTTTTAAAACAACAATACCAATGGCAACAACAATAAAACTAGTTTACTTGAGTGACCATGTTTTGGAGTTTTTGTTTTTGTTTTTCCTTTTGATCTCTCTTAGACTGGAGGACTCCAATATACTAAGAGTTGACATTTCCTTAAACACTCTACTCTTCTCCTTCCTCAATCTTATCAACTCTCATAATGTACTTTTTCATTCCACCTCAGCCACATACAGAATCAGTCTGATCTTGGAGCTCATCATCACCCACAAAGGATCAACTTCAATGATCAAGAATTCAAAATTTTTTTTATCATATAATCTCTTATCATTCCATCATTTTCCAAACTTCACAGCTTCTAAATCTATTCTTTGTTCTCATCAGGACCTTTTAGTCTTCCCCACTCCTCAGTACTCTACAAAGACTTTACTCCTGCTCTGGCTTTACTGCCCTCCCTACCTCTACCAACAAGAGGCAGCTAGCGGGTGCAGTGGCTAGAATGCTAGGCTTCAAGTCAAGAGGACCTGAATTCAAACTTGGCCCCATATACTTACTAGCTGCTTGATCCTAGGCAAATCACTTAACCTCTGTCTGCCTCAGTGTTCTCAACTGTAAAATGTGGATCATAATAGTTCCTACCTCACAGGGCTGTTATAAGGATCAAATAAGACAATGTTTGTAAAGTTCTTAACAGAATGCCAGACACATAGTAGGTATTTAGTAAATACTTGTTTCCTTCCTTCTTTCCAATCTTGACTCTGTAGCTAAACAATCCAACCTTACATATTCCTCTACTATGTAATCCCTTGCCCCTTCATCCAGTTGCCATTGGCACCTTACCAGACCCCAACCTTGGATTATCCCCATCAGTTGACTCCTCTGCTCCTATTCAGTGCTGGAGAAAGTCACTTAGCTACGCTGACTGAATCTGCTACAAATTTGTGTTATTTAATCTCAGTTGGGCCCTCACTATAGTAAGGTAATTATTTTACTCATCCCTAACAGATTTTCTATTACCCTTCTAACAGTCATTATTCCAGGACTTCCAGCCTTGTCTTTTCTCCTCAGCACTCTTACATCATGCCCTGACTATACTTTCTTAGCAGAGGGCTTCACATTATATTTCACTAAGAAAAAAAGCTCACCCACTCTGAGCTCTTTCTTCTCTCTTTCTTTACATCTCAAGATCATTTGGCATCATCTCCCATCTCTTCTCCTTTACTCCAGTTTCTGATGACCTTGCTCATCTCCAAAACCAACCCCTCTACTTGTACCCTTGATCCCATTCC